AGCGGTAACGCTATATTTTTGTATACTCATCGTAAAGTGCATTTGATTGGCTACAATTTGGCACCACTCCCATTATCGAGCGAGGCCAGCAACTATTTTAATTTTAGGTTTTAGTTTCAAGTGACTCCGAGGTCGACTTTCAATTAACTTTGTCGGTCTGGTTCACCAGGTTTCAGGAGTCGGAGCCGGTCCGAATTAGTTTCTATGTTATTTATTAGTGTTAAGCTTCAATTGTATGTAATAATATTTTAGCATTTATTAAAATTTAGACTAGTCATTTTTAGTTTCAAATTACGACGACAAATTTCAACCGCCAAGTAAAAATAGTTCCCGTGCTCCCTCGATCGTGAAATTTGGTGTGTGCATAGATCCCGCGGGGCCTAACCCCAATCTTATTTTTATTTTAAAAAATTTTAACAACTTTTCAAAATATAGACTTTTAAAATTTCGAGAAAATCATTAATGTAAAGTTTTTCCGATTTTCACGGAAAAAAGCTCAAAACATCGGCGGGGATCTCCTGATCACGCCGATACCATTTTTATAATTTTAAGATCAAAAATAGTGAAGTTATAAGCGATAGCATCATTTTCGTATTACGCAATTTAGCCGTTACAAATCTATTTTTAGAACAGCCAGTCGACCTCGGTAGTCTTAAGAATCCTTTTATTGTGTACATATTATTGCTTTATTGTTTTTTTTTTTTATTGTTGTTTAATATTGTTACCCCTATTGGGTATATATATTTATTTTTATTTTACATTTAATTAGGATTTTTATAGTTATAAGTTTGAATTGTCTAAGCAAAAATTATATAGCATTCCTTTAATTACAAATCGGGCCCTGCATAACATAATTTTATATTTAATTCATTTACTCAGTATTAAGTATTACTTAAATTTTTAAAACTCAGATTTAGATTTAGTTTTTAAAACTCAAATTCTTATAAGACAAAATATAACATTAGAGGTTAATTCCAACAAGACCGGTATTGGAGCTTTTAAAAAATTTCATAATATTCATTTAATCAGTAATACACACACACGCACAACAGAAATGATCCGCACGCCAACCAAGGGCGAGTCGCCGGGGAGATCGCCCCAAACGGCACCTACAGGCGTCGACCACGCTGAGGAGCGAGTCGTGGATGCCTCGGACAGTACCTATGTACTGCCTGCCGCCGCACCACACTCGCTCGGCGCGAACCCCAAAACTAGGGCCGTCACTAGACTCCAAAAAGCGAGAGGAATGGTAATAAAGGCCAAGACAGCATTAAAAAATAGTAGGAACCTCAAAACGGAGCTAAAGGAGGACATCACCCAAGCGGTGGATGCCCTGTACGGCCTCGTTAGAGAATTTGAACAAGATAAGCAAACCACGCAAACAGCAATAGAAGTAGCTCAAACACTGACCCCAACCGCCTCTATCCCTGACGAGCTACTCTCGAAAATAGAGGAAAATAATAGACTCCTCAAGGAGCACTCTCTGAAGCTCGAGGCCCTAAAGGAGTCAATGGAGGAACAAAAGGGCCTCATTAAGACGGTGACCTACGCCAGCGTCACGGCGGGACCCCAGAATGCAGAACGACAACGCCAGCAACACAAGGCGCTGCACACCATAGCGGTGGCATCCATAGACGAAAAGTCTACGGGAGATGAGACTTATGAGGAGATAAGAAAAGCAGTAGATGCGAAAAATGGATGGATCACCGTCGAGAAAGTCAGAAAGGCCAAAGACCGGCGGGTGATAATGGGTTGCAGTACAAAGGAGGAGAAAGACAGGTTAAAAGAAAGGTTGGAGCAGAAGGGCGGGTTTGTGGTTGAGGAAATGAAGAACAAGGACCCTCTTTTGGTTCTTTGGAGCGTGATGGCGATTCACTCGGATGAGGAAGTCGTCAGCGCTCTGAGGAATCAAAATCGGGACCTGTTTTGTGGCCTCGACCACGAAAACGACCGTGTGCACGTGAGGTATAGAAAGAGAACGAGGAACCCATTATGCAACAACGTTGTGCTCGCTGTGTCGCCGGCCCTATGGAGAAGAGCGGTAGACCAAGGAAAGGTTAGAATCGACATGCAGCAAGTGAGGGTGGAAGATCAAAGCCCACTCATGCAGTGCACGAGATGCCTGGGGTATGGGCACGGCCGCAGGCACTGCAAAGAGGAGGAAGACCTTTGCAGCCACTGTGGCGGCCCCCACCTCAGAGCGAAATGCCCGAAGAGGGCACAGGGTGAAACCCCCACTTGCCGCAACTGCGTAACGGCGAAACGGAAAGATGCCAACCATAATGCCTTCAGCCATGACTGCCAAGTGAGAGGAAGATGGGATGCATTGGCACGGGCTTCCATAGCCTACTGCTAAGGGCCCCGCAGGAGCAAGAAGCTACACAGTAGTCCAGGCCAACTTGCAACGGAGCAAGTTGGCCACGGACGAATTAATGTTGGAAGCGCAGGATGCAAAGATGGCAATTGCGATGCTCCAGGAGCCATACGTGGGCGCGAGGGGCAGATTAAAGTGTTACCGGGGAACACGTACGTACCAGGCCTTGGACAGCGGAGAAGGGATAGTGAAGGCTGCCATCGTAGTCTGCGATGGTAGGCTAGACATAGTCCAATACCCAGAACTATGTACTACCAACATGGTAGTCATAGGAGTCCGCACCAAGGCATGGACGGTGACCCTGGTATCATTTTACTTTGAGCCAGACCAACCCATGGATGGATACCTGGAGCACCTCCGGAAGATAGCCAGTGTAACAGGATGCCGAAAGCTGGTAGTAGGAGGCGATGTAAATGGGAAGAGTCCATGGTGGGGAAGTAACAAAGAGGACAAAAGGGGAGAAGAATTCAGCGGCATGATCGGGGAGCTGGGACTGAATGTGCTTAACACGGGTACAACACCAACCTTTGACACCGTAAGGGGGGGAGTCAGATACAGTAGCCACGTGGACGTGACGGCTTGTTCGACCGATCTGCTAGACCTGGTGGAAAACTGGCAAATACGTGAAGATCTTACCAACTCAGACCACAACGGCATCACATTCCACTTACACCTGCACAAGCCAAAAGGCATCCAGATTAAGCGCACTACAAGAAAATTCAACACTAGAAAGGTGGATTGGTGTCAGTTTCGTGAGGAGCTGACTCAAAACATGTTAGAGAAACACCTCACAGTACAGACAATAGACACAATAAATAGCCACGACCAACTCGAAGACACCGTGATTAGTTACACACAAGCAATAACACACACTTGCGAACACACAATGAGACTCAAGAGAAGCACAGAGACGCTTACCTTGCCGTGGTGGTCTGAAAAACTTGCGGAGATGAAAAAGGAGGTCGCCAGGAGGAAGAGCAGGGTCAGGAACGCAGCGCCGGACCGAAGACCCACGATGGTGGTACTGTACCTGGAACAAAAGGAGAAATACACGGAAGCAGTAAAAGCCGCACAGACAGCTAGCTGGCAGAAGTTCTGTGAGAGACAGGACAAAGAGGGAGTATGGGACGGGCTGTACAGGGTCATGGCAAAGGTGAGTAGGAGAGAGGAGGACTTACCGCTACAGAAGGAGGGAATAAGCTTAACGCCTTTGAAATCAGCCGAGTGGTTGGCGGAAACATTCTACCCACAAGACGACACAACACAAGACACTCACAGACACACACAACTCCGTACAAAAGCCACTTCAATTAACTCACACACACTCACTAGCACACACATTCACCCCGACCCACCATTCACACTGGACGAAATGGAGAGAGCGGCTCACTCGTTCAACCCCAAAAAGGCACCGGGAGGAGATGGTTTCACAGCGGATATTTGTCTAGAGGCCTTGAGAGCCGACCCTCGCTACCTGTTGTCACTGCTGAACAAGTGTCTTTCTCTGGGCTACTTCCCGCGGATCTGGAAGCAGGCCGTGGTGGTAGTCTTGAGGAAGCCCGGAAAGGACTCGTATGTCGTGCCCAAGGCGTATAGGCCTATCGGTCTGTTACCTGTCTTGGGTAAGATATACGAGAAGATGTTAGTCACCAGACTCAAGTTTTACATTTTACCTAACATTAGTCCGAACCAGTATGGGTTTATGCCACAGCGCGGAACCGAGGACGCGCTCTATGTCCTAATGAGCCATATTCGAGGCAAGCTTGCCGAGAAGAGACTCATGACCTTAGTGTCACTGGACATAGAAGGCGCCTTCGATACCGCGTGGTGGCCTTTGATCAAAATTAGATTGGCAGAAGAAAACTGCCCTATAAACTTGAGACTGGTGATAGACAGCTACCTTCAAGATCGGTCAGTGACACTCAGGTACGCGGGGGAACAAGTAACTCGATGCACCACTAAGGGTTGCGTGCAAGGCTCCATCGGAGGGCCACTGCTGTGGAACTTGATCCTCGACCCCCTCCTCAAAAGCCTGCGCAACGGAGGCGTATACGCGCAAGCGTTTGCCGATGACGTTGTGTTGGTTTTTGACGGGGAGTCCGCTGCGGAAATAGAGAGGCAGGCCAACGTAACTCTCGAACATGTGAGGGCATGGGGAGCAGATAACAAGCTTACTTTTGCACCTCATAAAACCAACGCTATGGTCATTACTAAAAAGTTAAAATATGACACCCCAAACCTCAGCATGGGCGGAGTACAGATAGAGTTGACGCGAAACATTAAATTGCTAGGATTAACGATAGATGATAAGCTCACATTCAACACCCATATTAGCCTCGCCTGTAAAAAGGCAATAAACATCTATAAAAAACTCGCCAAAGCAGCGAAGGTCAGCTGGGGTTTACACCCAGAGGTGATGAGAACGATTTACACAGCAGCCATAGAACCCGTCATCCTGTACGCAGCGAGCGCGTGGGCGCCATCAGCGAACAAGCTGGGAGCGAAAAAACAGTTTGGTACAGTGCAAAGAGGTTTCGCTCAGAAAATGTGCAGGGCCTACCGCACGGTCTCCCTGGACTCGGCGCTGGTGCTGGCCGGGATGCTCCCTCTTGACCTTCGTGTCAGT